AAGACCCTGAAGGGAAAAGGATACTGCCAAACTTACTTGGGGGTGGGTCTTTTGCTCATGGTTTGTGTTATGAATCCTGTTTGTGGTGTTTCCCCAACATAATGCCGCATTGTTTCCCTCCTTTATTAAAAGTATTTTGCTACACTCAGACTCCGTGCTTGCGAGAGGGGAAGTATTGCCTCTTAAAGGCGCCCGGGGGGTGGTTTGTAATTGTCCCAGGTCACTGGGTGGGGGCTTGAGCTGGTTTTGCATTGTGTTATTGAAACGGAACCCCTAGATACTGAACCTGGCCCTTGTTGCTGCCAACTCAGACGGGCAGAAGGGTTACAGATGAATTAATGCCATGTCAGAACCTGAGCTGACAGTGCTCCAAGAATACTTCCACGAGAACTTTGCCTGAGGGTTCATCCACAAGTCAACATTGCCAGCTGGTGTACTAGTCCTGTTCATCAAGAAGAAAGATCATAGAATCATAGAATATCAGGGTTGGAAGGGACCTCAGGAGGTCATCTAGTCCAACCCCTTGCTCAAAGCAGGACTAATCCCCAACTAAATCATCCCAGCCAGGGCTTTGTCAAGCCTGACCTTAAAAACCTCTAATGAAGGAGATTCCACCACCTCCCTAAGTAACCCATTCCAGTGCTTCACCACCCTCCAAGATGGTAGCCTCTGATTCTGCGTTGACTATTGTTCATTGAATCAGATAACCATCAGGAATTGTTACCCTTTGCTCCTGATTCCTGAGCTGCTGGATTGTGTGGGGGCTGCCCGCATAGTCATTAAATTGGACCTAAAGGGGACATACAACCTTGTGCAAATCAGGGAAGGGGACGAGTGGAAGACCCAATTGCATCACTATGCATATATTGTAATGCCTTTCAGATTGACCAATGCCTTGGCCACCTTCCAACATTTTATAAATGTTGTGCTCTGAAACATGTTGGACCAGTACAGTATAGTCTACCTAGATGACACATTGATCTTTTCTGACTATCCGGAACAGCTTACTGCTCACATCCAAACAGTCCTGGAATGCCTATAGCAGCATAACCTTTATGCCAAACTCGAGAAATGTACCTTCTATCAGGCCTTCATGTAATTCTGGGCCTTCAATTTATCTCCAGAAGGGATCCAGATGGACCCATGTAAGGTCCAAGCTGTCCAGGACTGGCTGATTCCTTATATAGTATGTGACCTGCAACTCTTCCTGGGGTTCGCCAATTTCTATTGATGGTTTATCATGATTTTTTTCAAAACAAATCGAATCCCTCACTGCTTTCCTCTAGAAAAATGCCCAATTCCATTTCTCTCTAGGCCCAGCATGCATTCAAATAGCTAAACCTGCCTTTACTACAGCACTCATATTGGCTCACCCCAATGTTACATAAGTCTTTATTGTAGAAGCTGATGCTCCAATACAGTGATCGGGGCTGTCCTCTCCCAGCGACTTGGTCCCAAGCAATCGCATGGGCTAACACTCATTACTCATGGAAGTTCACCCCCACAGAATTAAATTGCGAATTACTTGACAAGGAACTCCTGGCTATAAAAACCGCCTTTGCAGAATGATCTCACTACCTGGAAGGAGCTCGTCACCTGGTCCAGGTATTCACTGACCATAAAAATCTGGAATATTTACATAGAGCAAAGGACTTAATCCAACAGCAGCTTTGGTGGGACCTGTTTTACTCACAATTGGATTTCATTATCACATACTGCCCTGGATCCCAGAATGGCAAGGTAGATGCCCTGTCCCATGGCACTAACCCACCAGGCCCCAGACAGGACCCAACTCCCATTCTTCAATCCTGTAACTTTCTCAGTGTAGCTCGTCCCCAGGATAGACTAAGTTTAATACCCATTGCCTCTGCTTCAGGAAATCTGCCTGACGAACAAGCTATTATCGACAAGCAACCGCATGACTCCTGGGAAGGGATCATCTAAGGCATTCATGTAAGGAATGCATCTGTTACCACAGGACTCACAAGAGTTGCAGTCCTACAACTATGGCATGATTTTCCCCTAGCAGAACACTTGGGGCTCTTCAAGACCTAATAACTAATATCCTGCTCCTTTTGGTGGCCCTGGATGCACCCAACAATACAGTCATTCATTGCCTCCTGTGATGTTTGTGCCACACCAAAACCCCATGCCACAAGCCCTGTTGCCTTCTCCAGCTCTTGGGCAGCCATCGCTGTAGACCTTATTGTAGAATTACCAGAGTCCAAAAAATTTATAACAGTTTTGATTGGTGGTGGTCCACTTTTCCAAAATGGCCCACTGTGATGCTGGTAAACCAGGTGCCAGATCTTGCCAGGTCTGTAGGCATCATCTCAGCACTGACAAATTCATAGTTGGAAACCAGATCAGTTCACCTATATGTTAATATTG